AAAACCTGCTCCTTACGTCGGGTTTCGTCGTGACGTGGACTTTCTGGAGTGTGCAGGACACAAGAAAATTGAAAATCCCCCTGGGCTTGGCACAACCGATACGTCTGACTTTACAAATGACTGTGCTGGTTTGGCTTTTTTTTTTCGTTTGGTTCTTGCTAACGATCATCGCCTTTTCCTTTATTACTGGAACAAACATATTTGAACCACGTTACGCGCTGTTTTGAAGAGAGATAATGTCAAGCGCTCTTGCTATGCGCTGTCAGAGTTAAAGGAGGTTTACTTAAGGCATCCGTTATATATTAAGCATATCTTATTCAAGAGATGGAATGACAATTTTTTTTCAGGATTGCACTGGGGAAATACAATGCCTGCAGCAGGCTAGGAGGCACTGAATTAAAAACCCTGGAAGGTTTCTTTCTTAAAGGAAGCGAGACATCGCCCGAGCGACGGTGCGAAATCACCGGTTTCTGCTGACCCAAGCGAACGCAGCAGTCGGGGCGGAAGCGGCGTCTATGACCAGCCCGGATGGCCGCCAACGCACACCGGCACATCGGGTGGGACGAGGGAGCCACGAATCTCCCACTTCGGTTCCGGATATACGAGCCCCACCACGACGTAAGGACTCAGTCTGGAAAATCACGTCTTCTTTGCAGGCCCGAGTCAAGCGGGTCCCGCTAAGGCTGCCAAGTGAAGCCAATTCTGGGCTGATAAATAATAAACTGCCTGACAAACAGTGCTTTTCAGGAGTAAGTTGAAAACTTCACAGAATCCCAGCATGGCAGGGGTTGGCAGGGACCTCTGTGGGTCACCCAGCCCAACCCCCTGCCCAAGCAGGGTCACCCAGAGCAGGGGGCACAGCACCGCGTCCAGGCGGGGCTGGAATATCTCCAGAGAAGGAGACTCCACAGCCTCCCTGGGCAGCCTGGGCCAGGGCTCCGTCACCCTCAGAGGGAAGAAGTTCGTCCTTACTTTTAAGCAGAATGTTAACTACAAAGTGTTAAAAAGCAGGAATATTAGTTCCTGCAAAGCGAAGTTCTAACTGAACTTTATTATTGTGAAAAGTAAAACCTGGTGCAATTACAGGGATAATATCTCAATATTATGCAAGCGCACGCTCAGGCCTTTTGGAAAGAACGAGGTCTCACGTGTTCTTCTATTTTAATCGCCCGCCGCACCTCCCGAGATCTCCGGGGAACGCGCTCAGCTAAAGGTGAGCTCAGCGTTTCCAAAATAACACGCTCCGCACGCCCAAGCTCCGAAATCACGTCCGCCGGCGGGGACGGGAGCCCTGACACGGGAACCCAGGCTGGGGGGCCAAAGGCCGAAGACGCCATAGCGTTATTTTATCCCGAGGCAAAGGGGAGAAGCTGGGGAAGGCCCACGCGATGGGCCGTGAGGCGGCGGCTGCCTGCCCGGCTGTCGTGTGGTCGCATTTTATTTTGCCCCCTTTTATTAAAACCCCG